CCACCTGACTCGCCCACAAACGCGGTTGTGGTGCCAGGCAGACATTCGAACGAGATGTTGCGTAGCGCAGGTTTTCGTCGGTCATACGAGAAGCTAACGTTGTTCCAGCGCACATGACCTTGGAAGTCCTTGCCTAGAGGGACAGCATGGGGCGTATCCACTACAGTTGGCTGGATTTTGAAAAGCTCGAGTAATCTCTCGCCTGAGATCATCGCCTGCTGTACAGTCCGGTAAAAAGTGCCAAAGAAGTTCAGGGGACCCTGGAGTTGTGTCAAGTATGAGACAACCATGAACCAGTCACCAGTGGTGCGAAGGCCCATGGCAACTTGCCAGCCACAGACCAATGCAGCAATGATTCTGCCAAGGTTGAAAACCACGGTTTGGCAAATATTCATCAACATCATGCCCATCTGAACCTTGGCCTCGGCATTTTGGAACACTGCAACCTTGCCTTGGTATCGCCTAGACTCGAAATCTTCGGCGTTGAAGTATTTGACTGTTTCGTAACTAGAGATTGAGTCGTTCTTTACTGCTTCCTCTTCGCGGTCAGCGTTAGTCATTTCTCGACGCTGATCCGCTCGGGTGGAAGCCATCTTGATAGTCATGTAGAGATACCAACAAGTATCAACCAGGTTGATCTCAGCATAGAGTGGGCCGTAGTAATAGTAGAAAACCGAGATTGCGAGGAAAAGATCGAAAAGCATAGGAAAGACCTGGAAGGTCACTTGCTCAAGAAATTGGTTAATGGAAGAGCCCTTGTTAAGTGCTGATAGGACTTCTCCGGTGCGCTTAGAGAGGTGGAAATCGAGACTTAGAGAGTGGACGTGGTTGAAAGCCGCTGTCGTTAGTCCCCGATACGAATATTGCGAAACGGGGATCCAAAGAATTGATCTCAACGACCCCAGAAGTCCTGATTGGCCTTGAAGGATCCACAAGATCCCCAGAATCAAGAAATCTTTTAATGGGAAGTTGTCCATTGAAAGGCGTTCGCCATCTTTGACAACTTGGATCACCTCCTCGAGATCATTTACCACTTGCTTGACTGCCATTGGAACAGCTACGTTGACCAAACGCTGTAGCATGACCAAGATGAAGCAGATGAGAACATTGATCTGAAGTCTGACAGAGTCCTTAGGCCAGAGGTAAGGGAAGAAAAGTGAGTACCCCTTAAGATACTCCCACCACGTCTTGTGTGGTAGCTTCTCGGGTCGATAAAAGGCAGCGGGTTCTTCCTTTTTAGGGAAATTTGGCGTCTTATGTGCGTTCGACATCGTTCTACCGCGCCCACGGCGACCATTGGTATCTCGACCATTAGGGATCTGGCCATTGACCGCTTGACCATTAGTATCATACGACCGGCGGTTTCCGTTTAGGAGTGGTGTTGACTCTGCTGGGTTAGCTTCCTCGATTTTCTTCTCATCAGTGCCGCGAGCCTTGCGAATCCACGCCAAGCTAAAGACTCCGATCAGGGCAAGTAGATGGAGTATTCGAATGAAATAGAGGACGAGGTCGATCTTGGTCCAGTAATCTACACAGTTTCCTTCCTTTTCTGAGCCGCTGTTTTTAACAGAGCGGAAGAAATGGCAATCAACAGCCGCAACTGCAGTTGTAGAGAACATGACAATTTCGCCAATGAAGCCCAAGATCCAGACAATGAAGTGAACAATGTTAGGACCCTTGCGCCAATCGAAGAGCGAGATCAGGATATAAAGGTAGAAGAAAAGGGTTCCGGTAACATGGACCTATGTGAAAAAGTGTCAGTTCCAGTTACGATGGCTCTCTCGAGACGGTTAGAGGGGTAGCTATTTCACATACAACACTCCATTCACCAGCCCATGGCAACCCCTCCTTGGACCATTGGTAAGGGTCTTCATACCAGAAAGCATGATAAAACATGAATCCAGCGCTGCCCACATAGGTCATGAAGACAACAAAGGCGAGGTAACGAAAAACATTTTTTGTAGTACGGCCAAAACCTGGGCCGATCTTGCGGTCACCGTCGCCACGGGCTCGCTTCTTTTTGGTTAAAGGTAATGGCTTGCCTCCAGGTCCCTTAACTGTAGGCTGGACCAGGTCTTCTTGCTTCTTGGAGTTCACGACGCTGTACCAAGCGGCGCAAGATATGAATGCTGTAAGTAGGATGAGGGCGTAGAGGTATTGCGTTTTGCGCAAGATGTAATCGGCTAGAGGTAGATCATCGCGGCCTACACCGCGGAGGAGAGTGGTCGCGGTATCGTCGGGGGCAGCCATGATGGCGGACTAGAATAGCTGTGAGCGTCGGTCGTTGTCAAAGAGCGGCAAGCCCATATGTGCACTATTGAATCCGAGAAAAAGGACGACGTCGATATAGGAAGGGAAAGGCCTTCACCGCGGACAAAGCATCGCCCTGCCCGTGGCAATTGACGGGACAGAGGGGCCGAAAAACGAGTGAGTGGCGGGGAGACTGTGGAAGAGGCACGAGTTGATGATGTTGAAGGGTTAAAAGAAAGACTTGAGACTCGAAAGACGAGTGCGGTCTAAGTCTTGTCCTTGTCCTGCTTGCTTTGCTTTGAGCCGAACCTACGACTCAAGCAGGTGCCACTACCAGTGCAGGTGCAAGTGCAAGCGCAAATGCAAGTGCAGGGTGCAGGGGGAGAAGGTGCAAGGTGCCGGGGGCAGGATGCCGGACGCCAGGTGCCAGGTGCAGCAGGGCAGGTGCCCACCTATGCAGATTTTGGGCAAGCGCAACTCCGATGAGCATCCATTCGCTCGCAGTGCCAGTCGAGGACAAGCAACCGGCGCTGGATGGAAATGGTGTTGGAGTGCCCCAGTTTCCGCAGGGTGTGCACTCAACTACAACACAACTAACACACCTCATATCTGAAGCAAGCAACGCTTTGAACAGTATTGGATGATGGAATGGTTGGCAGGTACAAGTGAGTGAGTGAGTGAGTGAGTGAGTGTAGTGAGCACAGGCGACACCATCACATCAGCTCAGCTCAGTAGGGATGGATGATAGATGCCATGTTCAGCACACCTAAGCCCTTCCCCTCCAGCTAACTACGACATCGGTCGTCAATTGCCCCTCTATCAAGTCCCAGCACCATCACCATCACCGGCCCAGCCTTTAGCAACATGGAAGTGGAAGGCAGTGAAGGCCAGTTGCCAGTAGCAGTGCATGTTCAGGCCTTTGGCTTCAGTATTTGGAGCCCTTTGGTGGGGCAGCTGACTTGGGTAAGTGGCGAAAGCCACCCCGAAGATTGCCCTCCCGTCGGGATGCTCTCTTCTTGGCCCATCGAATGAATGATTGAGATTGAGCGGTGCTGTAGGTACGGAAGAAGAATAGAAAATATCAGGTACGTACCTATTGGGTCAACCACTTGCACTGCACAAGGTACCAGCTTGAATTTGAATTCGCTGTCGTTATTCAAAGGGTCCAAGGGTCTCTCTACTCTAATCAGAGTTGGGAACTAATAGCGAGAGTCCATAACCTTCTTGTTATATGATAGAGAGCGTCAAGACTGGGAGGTTCCCTGTTGCGTTGTATTTACCCAAACAACTGTACGATAATGATTCGTTTTAAAAGGCTCGTTACTGTGACAGTTTCTGCTATAGACTGTATTGTATGTCCAGTTTAATATTGTTTTCGAGATTGGATTGCGCGGGCGCCGCCGGTGGGCGTTGCTGGATCGTTGCTAGATCGTTTGTGGCTCGATCGATAACTCGCTTGTTGTTGCTGGCTTTCACTAATTCTCGACCTTGGGAATGGAAACTGAGAGCGGGTTTTGCTACAGCACAGCTAACATCATATTCGATGACTACAACATTGGCTCAGTAGGCCTCCTGGTCCATCTTTCTCCTCTTATTCCTGTTCTCGTGCTTCCCCTTCACTAACAACTTTTGCTCAACCACAAGCAACGCCTCTCTTCTAGGCCCTCTGAGCCTCCCGGCGTTCTCCTAGATGTGGGTTCACGCCTCAAGGCCTGGGACACTCTGTGGCCCGTCGACACGCCTCAAGCCTCTAGCACACGCCTCTCTCGACTTGGCACGCTCCCACACACACACGCCTTCTGGGCATCAACTACCCAGAAGCAGCTAGGGCAGGGTGGGGCATCCCTTTTGGTGGAGAGGCTTGAGAACAGGGTCCTCTTTGAGTCCTTTCTGGGGGGCGGCGGTTCTTGGCTTAGGTTCCACGCTATCCTCACGTCGTTCTTCTCTTTGGGTCCGTTGTCTACCAGGAATTCGATGGGTCTTTACCAGGTTTATCTGAGCGATGGAAACTCGAGTTCAATGCTTGTCTCTTTGACCTGACAGGGTCCGGTGTATGGTGGTTCTATGCCGAGGGCGTGAATCACGATGAAAGAATGGTAAAGACGATAGATAAATAGATAGATAGATAGATAGATGATCTGCATACTCGGCGTTTTGGGCATTGACAGACCTGACCTGATAGCTTATAACGCTGGTGCCGCGGGAGCAGTAGGGGATCAAACGAATGACTACTCAACATTATGGAGAGACAGCGTTATAGGACGCGACTCGGGCGTTTAATAACCGATATCATTATACATCATACTGCAAAACACATGCACCGACTGGCTGAGTTGTTGTTTTACGTGGGTCAATCATGAAGCTCGGCTTCGAATGACACAACATGTGCCTATTGATGATTGCGTGTAAAAGCACAACTAACAGCAACAAAGCTTGTCGCTCATTGACGGGTACAACTGCAAGGGATGGATATCATTCTCTGTTCTTTTTAGGGAAACGGGTCCAATACAACATTCACTTCACGTACACCATGTCTAGTATGGTTCCGCTTCAGGTGAGATCGGGGATTGTTTGACCAACGGCCAGGTTCCCCCAGATGGCAGGTCAAGGTTAATCAATAAGAATAGAAGTCAAGCAATGACAGGGAAATTGGAATTCATCATCATCAAGATCAGGGCATATTTGTTAGTGCGGCTGTTCTGCGAATAATGAACAAAAAGGCTTAGCAAAGGGATCGGATATACAAAAATGGTCATGATGTTCAGCCAAAACACTCTATTTCAACTCAGCTTCCCCTATTGGTTTCAGGGGTGTCGTGATAGCGCACCACCTCAGCCTTGAAGATGTCCCAATTTAGACTGTGTGTAAACAAAGTCAACACCAATCCTATTCAATCCAGTCCAACCAATCCATCCCGTCTCAACCCTCCCTGTCCCCTTGTAAAGTTTCGATAATCCGTTGCACTGACCGGACGGAACGCCGCCCAGCGGCTGATGGTGTTGGTTTGTGCGCTTCGGTAGACTACAGTAGTCATCCGCTCTGCGCTGTTGTACTCCGTATCATGGACTCAATTGTTGATTTTGGACGCACAATGAATTGGTTGGGGAACTATGCACTCCAATGACAAACCAAGGAAACGAATCCGCATGGGACGGGCTATATTGGTTTGTGGAAGCAAACCAGGAATTTAGAGGACTTGCATAGCTAGTCGTCTAATCAACTTGATTAAGCGGTGTGTATGTCTCTGTCTTTGTGTCAATAATCATGAATTTCTCTTCCCAGTGACCTGATGCCTGTTTCTGATTGATTGATTGATTCATGCCATAAATACATGTCTCCTCAGTGATCGCAGCTGGAACATTTGGTGTGAACTGTAAGGACGTGTAAGTGGTCACGGTGGCTAAGATGATGGCGATAGTGATGATGTAAGTGAGGGCCATGAGTTCCATGTTCCGTGCCTTAGCTCAGTGTAATGGTTGCACAGGAACATGTACCCCGTACTGTACCTCCAACACCACCTGCGATTTCGATTGCTGCCGTTCCAAAAAAGAAGCTGTTGGAGACCTCTCCCCGCAGGTCGAATGAAGATCATGTATTGTACCTGGCAAGGCCTGTGGGCTACGGGTACGGTATCAAGAGGCTTGCCTTGGCGTCATGACTATGGCTCTGACAATTCTTCGTCAAGTTCAGTTCGTCGAAGTTTCTGTTACAATATGATTTATCAAGTACAATCTTTATGTATTTCAGTTATTTATAACTAAAAAGTGACTGGCCAAGTCTCTACTCCATCCCGTGCCCAGCAGTCCTCCCCCATCTTCGATCCCGACCGCTAGATCCCAACCTTCACCTTGTCTAGGTATGGATGTGTGTACCTAGATCTGAGCTCCTGACGTAGTTTGCTCTGCCCTGCCTACCCCCTTACCACTTCCACAGCACCATCTCTGCTCCGCCGTCGTCATCCGAGTCAAGTCATATGGGAAGCCGAGTCAGGAGGACGTTTCTCGGCCAGCAACAGAGAAAAGGAGCGGAGAGATCTGGCCGGGCAGATCATCGCTGTTGAGTCTTGGCTTTAGAAGTCATGATGGTGTTCTTATTCCCGAGACAAGAATCGCTGAAAAGCCAGGGTCGAAGAGGAGGGGTGGGCTGCTCTCCCGCCATAAAAAGAAAAGTGACAGCCCTCCTTCACCGGCCGGCAGGTTGTGCTGTGTTGTCGTGTCGTGTCACAAACTTTAGGCTGCAGATGATGGCCTTCGATCTTTACCTTATTGCGCCAGCTACAGTAGTTTCCTGCATGTAGGTATGCGAGTTGACGCAGGTCCCTAAGGAGAGGAAAGAGAAAACTGAGCTGCAATTAACGAATGGGCGTTGGCTGTGCCAGCTGTCATTGACTATTCGTTGTACAGAAAAGTCCTAGAATACACACACTAAGGATCTGTTAGTTAGTGTCAAGGCGCAGGGCGGCACTGAGCAGCGATGCGATACGATACCGTGCAGCGAGCGATTCACGGTGAACAAGAAGCGACTAATGTAACAGGTTCTCAGGTGCTGTATGCGCGATGTGAGTACAGGAGGTGTACTAACTTACACAGAACGAGCATATGCGCAAAAGTCTCACTATTGGCTCTGTACTACACCAAACGCTGGTATTAACCTTGGCTGTTAGGTTAGTCCCCTCTCTCCTCTCCAGATCGATCGTTGTTGCGTTGGTGGGAAAGTGTTGGCTGCAGACTACAGTGGGACTGTCCAATTCCTTGCTGCTGTCAGATGTCGGATTCGCCAGGTGAGTGATAAGGTGAGATTCAGGTCAAGGAAGAGTGCAGTCCCCGGTGTGCAAGCTAAGATTGGCGATGCACCGTCCGATTCTGGAAAACTGACAAAGATGAGCGGGCGGCTAAAATGGTCAATTAACTGATCAATTAATTTTTACTGACATCCAATAGCGAATGTACTCTATTTACTCAAGGTTTTGCTTTTGTTTACAAGGGTCATCCGCATCTCCATAGCTTCTCGATGTCGTCTCAGTCTTTCTGTTTTCTCTCTCCCCACCATTTGTGCCCAGGTGTCACCACGAAGGAATCATGATGCTTGACTCTCCTCCACTTTGAATATGTGCTGACTCCACAGAGGCTGCTATTGTTGTCTGAGGCCTGTTAGCTTGACCCTCTCTCATACAACTGCCGGCGAGCTGTTGCTGTCGTAATGCGTCACAACTTGCAAGTCAGTCATCGGTTGTTTTTATTGTACAAGCATTGCCTTTATTGTCTCTGCTAGACTTGGATAACAATGTCCGTATGGACTTTTCATGTGTTTATACTACCTCGGCAACTAAACAACGATAGCTCTATTTATTATCTACTAATACCGAAGAACAGGCCAGAGTAAATTAGCAGCGTTATATACCTTACTAGCGAATGCTTGGCTACAAAAGAAAAAGGTTCCATTGAACAATCTATTTATCCACCATGAGGGCTTAATATTCGGTATCCAATATAACTACATCGGATCGCGGTCCGCGCTAGGATGGCCACAGCTGTGATTTGATCTACATCAGTCCCAAATGAGATCTGCAAATACCTTTTGACTGGAACACTCTCGGTGAAGAAGCAGAAAATTTCGGGCATGTTTTCCGCCGTTCATAGCTACTACAACGCTACCTCTACTTCATCATGAGATGATTAGCATCTTTCGCTTTCACCGCTTGCTCTGCTGCATGAGTGTCTGCAGGTAGTTGGGCCCGTTGTTCAAGTCAAGGTGTTGTCGTGCACAGCTCATGCCAGTCATCAAAACACGCCTGTGGTCTCTACAAAATTTATTTGAATAGCTTCGCGTCAAGTTATCCGATTGATGCAAACCCCGGCGTCTGGCTGCCAGCCAAGCATGGGTGTCTGGGCCTTTGACAGGTCAGTTCATCTTGACTGAGCATGGGAGCCACGAGAACAGCCAGCTTGTGAGACCTGTGCTGCAGTACAATCCCAGTATTGATCTCCAAAATGCCAGACCCTATGTCTTGGGCAGGACAGTGTCTTTGATGAGGTGGAAGAGTTGAGTAAAGAGAGACCTGTCTGTGCCTCTTGTCCAACAGCCATCTATGTACTGCACCTGTTCCGTCAATCCCCCTAGCATTCTTTTTATGGATCACCACCATCACGGCGCCGCCACCAAAGCGGGACCTTTACTGGTTACGGTACGGAAGCTCAATTCAACTCAGGTAACTTATGGATAGCAACTCGTAAAGGTGCAGAAATGGGCTGATACGTAGAGAGAAAGCAAAGGGGAAAATAAAAACAGGTCAGGGCAAGAAAATAGCGGAATGCAAATTGTGGAATGCTAATAAGTCCGTGTCACCTGTTGTACTTGCTGTTGCGGTATCCCAGGTCACGGTCCCGCGAGCCATAACATGAAATGGGAATGACTGGTTAAAGAGTGCGTGACCCGGTCAGACTAAGGGGACAAGCGGATGGTCGCCCCTCTGTCCTTACTGATTACGACTGGTAGCCAAGCTCCAAGGCTCAAAGAGCCGCTCTGTCACGATCCTAGTGTTGGTTTTAGAGAGCCATGGCATGGCAGCTTGCACCTGAGCCCAGCTTGGAATAATTCGAAGCCAAGCCAAATTGACACAACCCTCCATTGCCAATTGATCAGTAATGGTAGGTGTTCTAAACATGGAATATGGTATGGATTGACATCCAATTCTAGGTTCACCAGAGCAAAAGATCATGAAAATGCCTGAGCGAGTGTGATTATGACCCCACCTCCACAATTGATAACGTTCTCGGTGTAAGTGAGGACACCTCCTAAGGGACAATCACTCCAATACAACTGCTGAATGTGAGAATCAGCCTCCCAAAAGAGTCAAACTTGCATTCATCTCACTCCGACTAATTCAAGCCTCACCCTTTTCTTCGGGTCCTGTAGCTTAATCAAAGGGGTGTTGGTAGTTTGTGGTTGTCGTAGTGGGCAGTAGGTGGTGTCATATCTGCAGACGACTGCATCTAGGCGAAGGGGCTTAGGCTGGGTCGAGATCTGGCAAATCCAGGCCATTCTCTTCTCCATCTTGTACCAGATTCACCCCGAAACTATATTGCTTGGCATCAGCATCTAGGTACGTATTACTACATGGGCTTTCTGGGGAAACGAGAAGTGAGGCCATTCAGGCCAAGTCAGACTTGCTGATGTGATGAAGGTGATACGAGGTGATACCGAGTGATGTGAGATATGAGCTACGGGATGCCATACATAATGTATGTATTATGTATGCATAGGTAGGTAGGTGAGTATGCGCATGTATGTATGCCCCGAAGTGAAACTTGAAGGTTGCTAGGATAGAGCTGATGCATTGTATACTGCCTAGGTGAATGCGAAGCAGGGAAAGAATACGCAGTAAAATACTGGGGTATCTTGTTCATTTAGGCAGCCTGCATCAGTCTGCACAACTCAAAACAAGGCGAGCATAGTCAGCGAGTGCCTAATTGATTCAGATGCATATATTGATTTCAAGGATATCCTTTCTAACGGCGCCTTCTTAACTCACCATCTCCCACCAGAAAGATATCGAGACTCGATACGATTCGATATGAGCGTCCCCTTCGCTTACCTAACTTACCTTACCTACATTATGAGATGTTGCCAGCCGCCGGCTGCAACTCTCAGAATCTTTGAGGCCAACTGTTGCCGTTTCTATTTCTGCTGTGCCTTCCTTCCTTCATTGTACTGCGCTGCACCGCCCTGCACTCCCGTCTCCTGCGCTGTACACTTACCTTCCTTGTCAATATTCTCAAAACCTGATAGTATCAACAAGTAAAGAGTCAGCAAACATGGAAGGACGGGGCCGGTGGGGTTTGCCTGCCGAATACCTGAGATTCAATTTCAATACAGTCCGGCAGATTGAACGGGATACCTATTTCGGTACCTCCTTAGACCTCCTCTCAGGGCAGCCTCCTTCAGCTCCCCTCCACAACTTCATCCCTTACCCGCTTCATGAAGAATTACTTGTCTGACAGCTCACCTTTCACAACTTCCGCTGCTTGTTCAACATGCCTGATCCATGATCCGTTGCGCCTTATCACTAGCTGCCTTACACGCTTGTCTAGTGCGTTGTACCTCGCGAGCAAAGGAGGTAAGAAGAGCCGTTTATACTTGCCAAGGTCTACCTATCATATCAACCGTTATTCAGTTCCCAAGTGGTGATGCATCATTCTTTCAGCTCTGGCCTTGAGTCCTACACAAACTCCACTGTCCGGCATGAGTCGCTTCGAAGCCTCTTGTCTTCTCTCGTCTATCTTGTTTCCTCTATATTGTTTACGCGTGACATGCCTTTCCCTGCTTATTGCTTGAATAGTTCAGATTCACTCCTCGTATTGGTCGCTGACCTACCTTACTCACCTTGCAGTCATCATGTCACGTTAAGTTGACCACAAGCCTGCGCACAGATAACCCTTCCCCCGAAGACCCCTGCCAATGTCTTATCCAAAGACACTGGCTCCTAGCTTATACTGCCTCGTTGCTTTTTCGAAACTCAAACCGCCAGCAACTCTGTGCATTTCCACCTCGGCAGGAGAAATGATCTGTCATTACGAAGTGCCAGGCAATTCGACAGTCATTACGTTTGCGATTGGGTCCTGGCATACCTATCTCCAGACTCGTTTAGATGCACGGTGCTGTTGAACAGCCTTGGACAGGTTATGTTCTGGCCGAGTCCTTTGATCAC